CATTAACTTTAACTAAAACGCCGGGCCGGGCGGCCCGGCAAAAAACTTGGCCCGCCCGGCCCAACAATTTTTACCGATTGGCCCGCCCGGCCCGAAAGAAAAGCTTCGTTGGGCCGGGCCGGTCCACTGGGCCGGGTGGCCCGTTTCGAGCCCTGCTAGTCAATAATAAATCAAAGGAAAACTAAGTCCTTCCATACTCCATATACTTACTCTTTCTATAGTGTCTATATTTTCGAAGTAGACGGTAGTCTCGTTCTAAAATGGAAATAATTATTTTTCTCTTGAAAAATATTCATTAGTTTATAGACTCATAAATAAGTTTGAAACAAAATAAAAGTATGAGAAAGACATTATTATTAAACTGTATTATAGAAATAAATAAATAAATATAGTATTGATTAAAAAAATTGTTTAGTTACAGTCGTAAGCGTAAAAGTGAAGATATTATTCGTGAAGTGAATAAATTCTACTTCATACGATTATAAATAATTCGTATAAAAATTTCGATTGAAATCATATTAGTAAAAAATAAAATAAAATAATTACTTTTTTCATTATTTTATTGGATTTCAAACAATCATTCAGATTTTAATTGGCAAAAAAAACTCATGTCGTCTTTGATCATTTACAATTTTAAGATCAAGTTTTTTTTTTTTTTATTTATTTATATGATGGATTTTAACAATTAAATTAACTTTAATTTATTTCTTAATTGAATAGAAGAAAATGAGATATTTCTTATTATAAATATATATTTATATTAACAGGATAAAAAACATATTTATCCTACTGATTTAATTAAGATAAGATAAATCAAATGTTAAATAATATTAGAATTTATCCTATTATCAAAGAGAAAACAAAAAACGATTAGATTATATTTGATAAAAACCTTGATATGTATTCTATTTATTTATCGATATATTTATGTTAGATAATGCAATCGAAACATCTCATATATTGTTTTATGTTTAATATTTTATCCCACGATATTTATTGTTCGAATAAAAAGAATAAAATTTTGTTTCTTTTTTTAGTTTTTTATTAAAATCGGATAGCGGTGCGACAGGAAAACAATGTACGTCTATAAATGTATACACAAAAGCTAAAACAAAATTATCAAAATCTAAATTATCAACTGCAAATACAAGTTCATCAGNTAGATAAACCTAAAAGTCAAAATAATAAATCAACACCATCAAAGAAAAAAGTTCATAGTCGATCATCAAAAGCAAAAACAAAAGCAAAAGCAAAAGCAGAAAAAGAAATGGTCAAGACATGGACATAGTTCTATTTATAATAATAATAATAATAAATAGTAATGAGAGCGTTGATAAAACGCCTTACAAAGACGACAAATAAAGAAGATGATAACAGTTAGAACTAAGTAGAGACGAAAAAGTAGATGTTATTACATAATATACATGAATATCTCATTGAATTTAACATCATTTTTTGGTTGATGATTTTTTTTGACTTTGACTTTGACTTTTTTTTGTTATTGCACTTTTACGAACTTTTTTTCCTGATGAACTTGTATTTGCAGTTGATAATTTAGATTTTGATAATTTTGTTTTAGCTTTTGATGATCGACTATGAACTTTTTTCTTTGATGGTGTTGATTTATTATTTTGACTTTTAGGTTTATCTATAGATTTTGTTTTTATTAATGCTTTTGATTTAGGTTTATCTAAATAATATAAAATAAATAAAATATATAATAATTATTTTTTTTTATTTAATATATTGATAAATGAACTAACCTGTTTTAACTATTTTATTATTTGTTGTTGGTTTTTTATTTGTTTGATTAGTATGTGTTGAAACAGTTGTTGATGATGTATTTGTATTTGTATTTGTTGTTGGATTATTGTTATTAGTCGTATGAATTTTCTTGGTTGAAACTTTTTTAGTTGGAGATGTTGAACGCTTTCGTTTATTAGTTTCACTTGATAATTTAGGTTTCGATGATGAACGTGATTTACTTGTTTTAGTTGATTTTTTCTTTTGAGTTGTTGTTTTTGATTGATTTTTTGATTTATTTATTTTATGAATTGTTGTTTTTTTATTATTTGATAATGTTAAACCTAATTTAAAACTTCCACTAGCTCCAATACCTTTTGTTTGTTTTAATGTTTTATTTTTAATTCCAGCACGTAATGCTGATTTAAGATGTTGATTTGCTGTTATTGAATTAACTTTATAATTAGCTAATATATATTTTAATAAAGCAGCTTTTGATGTACCATTTCGATCATTTAATTGTGTTATCGCTTGTTTTATCATAATAGAATATTTTGGATGAGTTGTTGTTGAACTTTTTACTTTTTTGTTTTTATTTAATGGATTTACTTTGCTTTTTTTGTTAGCATTTGAACCTGTTGTTGTTGTTGCTGTTTGAGATGTGTTAAGTGATGTTGATGGTGTTGAACTTGTAAGATCAGTCATTGTTGTTTGATTTAAAATATAAATCTTTCAATGAATATGAAGCAAAAAAAAAAAAAACTAGAAGAAAACGATATATATGTGTGCGCGCGGTAGAACGATGTTGATAGAATGAATGAGAATGATGTTGGTAGTATATGTTGTTGGTTGTCGTTCTTGCATTTTTTTCTCTCCTTTCTTGTCCGCAAACGAGTCGAACCGCACATAGGATTACTTTTACCAATCGACATTTCTCATTATTGTTCAAACTCTTTTCAAAAAATTTACTTTTTTTTCATAGAATTTTTTCAAATAAAAAAAAAATTTTAATGCCATAACATAGAAAAGACTTTTCTCTATTTTATCATATAAAATTTGTCTTGATTTAATCATAATAATATGAAGAAAAGCAACTCAAAATATGACGAACAAGATAAGATTTGATGGATATTTGCAAAGTTTTTAATTATTTAATAAATATAAAAAAAAATTTTGGTAACTTTATATATATGATTTAAAAGAGAAAAGTGTCTTTTATATAAATGAGTTTTTAAAATTAAAAAATTAATAGATACGCGAAGGCAATTTTGTCGAAAAGCAAAACATCTAGTGAACAAAATGGTTAGAAAATAAATAACAAGAAACGACTTGACAATCTTCTCTTATAGAACAAGATTGACAATTTTCATCTTGTTGACGAATATTTACTATATTCATTAATGATTATTTACACTCATTTTTAATAATAATATACTCAATTTTAAAACTATTTTAAATTCTTATCTACTTATTTCAAATATTTATTTTTAATTTTAGAATAATTTATTTTATACAAAAATATTTATATCTATTATAGAAAACTTCATTTATAAAAACATCTATAAATATAGAATATAGACAAATATTCATCAAATCTTTAATAAACTATCGATATTATCAAAAAGATCTTTTTATTCTAATGAATAAATCGTATCATCAACAGTTTATTTTCTTTCTTTCAATAAATAAATTCATATAGGATAGATAATGTTTATGAAAATATATAATGATAAAAATGATGTTGTTATCAACATTCTAATGGAATTCAAATGTAAAATATGACAAAGATGGTTCGCCTTTATCAATAACTATCGTCAATTTCATCATTAAAATTCATCATAGATAAATAAAATAAACTTTATATGAATGAACAACGTTCAAATTTCTAGTAGAAAATTAACTTTAATAGAACAAATTTCAATTCTTTCATCATTTTAAAGGCAACATTTCAAATGTATCATGTTTGATATGATTTTGTTTTGTTTTTTTGTTTTTCATATGTTTAACTCAATGAAGCATATATAAATACCTAAACATATAATCTATTGTAGAATAAAAAGCGCAAACTTAAAGATTATAAATAATATTAGTTGAATTAAATAATTTGAAATTTCTATTTGATCATCATTCAATATTTTGTTTATTAATTTAAACTGATTGATTTTTATTATCAAAGATTAGTTTTTAATAATATTTCGAGAATAAATTCTTAATAAGGTCATTATCATCTTATATAAATTATTATAATAAGTTAAATAAAATATATTCTTATATGATTTTCTTTTTTTTTCTAAATATAATTATAAAATAAATATTTATTAAAAATAATGTTTAATTAAATATTTAGTTAATATAAATATATTATTCAATAAATATCATTTGAATATTATATTTTAGATCTATTTTCGTAACGACTTATATTAATAAATAAAACATTCAACTATTTTCTTAAATATTTTTAATTAAAATTATTATAAATATATTTATTTTATTTTAATAATTTATCTAAAAAATTAAATATTATATTATTAAATATAAACGTTCAAAATAATATTTCGATTTCTCACTCTTCTATCTTTCATATTGAAATAAATATATATTTTCGATTTTTCGATATGTATCATATTGAATTGTTTGAAATTCAATTTGAAACATTAAAAACCTATTAGAATATTCTTATAGAGAATTATGTGCAAAAAAACCAATTACGACATTAACAATTTTGGATTTATTATATTGCCTATTAGTTTTCAATGAAATGATAACATTGACAATAAAATAATGTTAAAATAAAATATTAATTATGAAATAAAACAATAAATTTTGATTAAATTTATCAAAACATTTAAATGAACAAAATAATTTTTCCTAAAGATAATCATTTATATTTGTTTGATAATGAAAATTAATTTTCAATAAATAACAATAATATAAATAATAGAGAATTATATTTGAAAAATCGACACATTTTGTTTATGAAAGCAAACATTATTCTTATCACTTTCTCTTTATAATCACTTATATTTTTGTTTCGACAGAATAATAAAATATTAATTTATTTAAACTAAAATTAATCTATTCAATCTATCAAAGTCTATCATTTAGAAATAATCATCCAAACAAATATATATTAAATATATATGGTCAATCAATATTTATCTATTAATTAACATATTAAAATAGATTTATGAAAATTTTGTTTTAAACTATTAAAAGAAAAGATTATTGAGAAAAATTTTCCTTTCAAAACTAAACATTTTCATCATAAACATTTTAGATTGAATATTATTTAATAATATAATTAATATTTCATTTATTCTTGCTTAACTTCGATGTTTATATATGACATTAGATAATGAACATTAAACTAATCTAAGAGAAATAACAAATCTAAATGATTTAACAAAATATAAATGACGTCATTTTCTCTATGAGAATAATAAAAAAAAATAAATGAAACTCATAAGCCAATTTTATCAATTGAGAAATTTCGTTCAAGTTTGTATATTTAAATAATTATTAAATTCTTTTCTCAAAATAAATCTCGATGACAAAGACATTTTACATTAACATTTTCTTATTTAATCATTATCATTTTAGGTAATTTTTAGCTTTTTCTACCAGATTACAAACACAACTGAATGAACAAATTATTGTCAGAAATATATTTTTTTATCGTCAATCATATTGTGTAAATTTCATAAAATATGATTCATCTCCAAATTAATATATAGAATACTCAAAAACAAAAACAAAAACGATTTCTTTGAATATTTTTCTAGATATTAACGTTTTTCTAACTCTATTATCTTTAGATAGAAATAATTCATTTATTGATGAAATATTCAATATATGATAAATCATCATAAGATTTATTATTTCGAGTGAAATATTAGACTTAAATTCTTTTATTAAATATTTTTGTTAATATGCTAGATAAAGATTAACAAGAAAATACTAATCATACTCCACATATCTTTCAAGAATCAAAAATATTTTTAATATATCATTATAATCAATAATATCTGAACTTGAACAGAATTAATCACTTCAAAAAATTTCCTCGTCAATCAATAGATTTTTATTGATCAATATGGATTTTCAATAGATATAAATATTATTACATAATCGAGATTGAATATCTATTAGAAATAAGTATTTTCATTTATTATAATTCAAACCAATTCAAAAGATGGAGCCGCATAAGAACAGGAATTTGCCCACGAACCGATTCTCATAAGAAGTTTATTTTCCGATGCAGAATTTTACGGAAAATCTTTTGATGCCAAATTCAATACATTTTTGAAACCATTTCACGCCTTCCCGGTCATACCAATTATACCCTATTTTTACCCAGTGCAGAACGGTTATGTTTGTCAAAACATAATTTGATAGAGCTCAAAATAGGCTCATCTGAAAGAGCGTAAAATTCTGCACAAAACCGTATATGAACCAATTAAAAATAATCATCATCAGTAAAAATTCCTAAGCTCATACTATGTTTTCATCCA